CTCGTGGGGGCACTTCAGTATTTGACCATCACTCGTCCTGATATCTCATATGTTGTAAATCAAGCCAGTCAGTTCCTGCAGGCTCCTACAGTCCATCATATGAAGCTTGTTAAACGGATCCTTCGATATGTGAAAGGCACTTTGGCCTTTGGTCTTACCTTTTCTCGTCCTACTCATACATCAGTTTTGGGCTACTCGGATGCGGATTAGGCTCGGTGTTTGGAATCTCGTCGTTCCACGTATGGATATTCCATCTTTCTTGGAGGAAACTTGGTCTCTTGGAGTGCCAAGAAACAACCTACTATTGCTCGTTCCAGCTGTGAGTCTGAATATCAGGCTATGGCGAACACTGCTGCAGAGATCATTTGGATTACTCACCTCTTACGTGAATTGCATGCTTTACCACCGGATCGGCCTAAATTACTTTGTGACAATCGCAGCGCGCTCTTTCTCACTCAGAATCCTGTCGCTCACAAACGGGTAAAGCATATAGATTTGGACTACCATTTCATTCGGGAATTGGTTGCGTCTGGGCATCTCCGCACTAAGTTTATTCCAACCGAGCTGCAGGTGGCAGATATCTTCACTAAGGGTCTTCCTCGATCACAATTTGAGTTCTTTCGCTCCAAACTACGTCTCGGTCCACCACCGCCTCGCTTGAGGGGGGATGTTAATATAAATTGATTATTTTTCATTTATTATTGTTTGTCCTTTGTTGCAATTCTTTATTTCTTTGTATAGCAAATTGTAAATTTCTTTAATATATATATTGCTCAGTTGCCCACGTATTAGGTCAGGGGGTTTTTCAATTACCTATTAAAACAAGTTGAGAATTAGTTGTCGACTTGTCGCAAAAAATGAAATATCTCGATCTTTGGAAAATATAAGATATATCTCAAATACATTTTCTTTTTTTGATTTGTAATAGGACCAAATAAATAAAATTGAACTTGATTTATGCAATCCTAATTTAATAATGTTTAAAGAAGTATCCTTGCAACTCACCCAACCAACTGTCACATCAGTTTTTCTCCCTTATCTCTTTTCCAACTCTCTCAACCCACAACACAAGGAAATCTTATTTTTCCCAACTCACTTAATCTGCTTGTCACATCACTATTTTTTATTTAATTAAATTGGAAAATATAAAATAAAATAAAACATAACATTTTTTGAAGAATTGATTTTATGAAGTTCCAAAAAAAAAAATTAAAACACTTACATCCTAGAGAAGAATTTTTTTTGTAAAGTTCCAAAATATTAGATAGAATTGAACATATGTTCCAAATTATACAAAAACAAAAAAGAAAAACAAAAAGTAAATAAATAAATAAATAAAGCATATTCACATTGAATGCCAAAACAAAAATAAGAGAATATTTTTCTTTTACGGTTATAGAGACAGAACATTAAATCAAATAATTAAATAGCAGGTTCACAAAGCCGTTGGAATAAAAAAAATGAGAGAACCCACTTAACCTGTTGTTCAAGGTATGGTTTCCCAGCAGTACCCCTAGTACCGCTCCATCCCATTACTGAAACCACATACGATTCCGTCTTCCCGTAGATTGGAGGTCCTGAGTTCTAATCCGGATGTTGACGATTTCTACTAACTTGATAATACTAATTTATAACCACTAACCAATTGTTCAAAAAAAATGATTTGTATTAGTTGGTTGTCGTGGCTTTCGAACCTTATTTTGGTTATTCTTTGTAATTCTCCCTTGTTAGCGTCTTACTACCTTTTTTTATATAATTCAGCTATTTGGAAAAAGGAAAAGAAAAATGTTTTGCTTAAAATGATAGTCTTTGTAATGATACTTAGGTGTTGTTTGGTTCGAAAAATGTTTTTAAATGAATTAGAATCGGAATTGAAAAAAAGAATCTGTCAGGAATTTGAATCCAATTCCATATTTTTTTGCTTGGCAGGAAATGGAATTGGAATTAATCCAGATTATGTTTGGTTGGCAGGAAATGAAATTATAATCCATGTAAAATGATAGAATTACCCCCTTTTTGTCTATTTTGTTTAATTCTGCTTTGTTTTCTATCTTACATGTAAATATATATTATATAAACTATAAAACTAGTAAATTTTCATTTTATTAATTGAGCATTCATGTCGGTGGCGGTGCTAGGTGTCGGTGGTGGTGGTAGGTGGTAGGTGGTGGAGGTAGTGGGTGGTAGTGGCAGTAATGGTGGGTGGTAATGGTAGTGGTGGGTGATGGTGACGGTGGTGGTGGTGGTGGTAGGTAGGTAGTGGTGGCGGTGACGGTGACGGTAGGTGGTGGTGATGGTGGCGATAACAGTAGTGGTAGGTGGGTAGTGGTGACGGTGGTGGTAGCGGTGATAGATGGTGGTGGTGGTAGGTGTTGGTGGTAGTGGTGGCAGGTGGGTGGTGGTGGTGGTGGCAGTGACGGGGGTAGATGGTAGTGGTGGTAGGTAGTGGTGATGGTAGTGGGTAGTGGTGGTGGCGATGGTGGTGGTAGTAGGTAGTGGTGGCGGTGACGGTGACGGTAGGTGGTGATGATGGTGGCGGTGGTAGGTGGTGGTGGTGGTGATGAAATTGGTGACGGGTGGTGGTGGCGATGGAGGTGGGGGTGGGGGTGGGTGGTGATGGCGGTGGTGGTGGGTGATGATGGTAGAGGTCATAGTAGTAAATTAATATCATCATCTTCTTGAAGGAAAGTGTTTTCACCTATTTAATGGAAACTGTTTTCATTTAGAATTCCATGTTTTCATTTAGAATTCCAATTTCATCATACAAAGTTTGAACCAAACACTGGAATGTAGTGTAATTAGATTCCTTGTCACTTCGAATTCCATTACATTCCAAGAAGCCAAACACACCGTTATAGTTGATACACCGAATTCTATAACTCCTTACGGTTGTTGAGATATTTATCCAAACTGTCCGTTCCAAAAAAAATTCTCTACAAAAATGGTACCTCCAGAGTACAAAAAGGTCATTGTTTTAATAGATTAGTACGGAAATTGTCCCTGCATATAAGCAAATTAAAAAAAAAAAAAAAAAAAAAAAAAAAAAAAAAGCCTTTACTGTTTATAAAATAGGTCCATATGCAGAATTATTTTTACCGGAATGGCTCTATGTTTAAAAAAATTACATAAATAGTCCCTTCTTAATTAACAAATTTATAGAAATGGCTTCTATGTTTCAAAAAATTATAGATATGGTCACTCTGCCTATTATCAAATATACATAAATGGTCCATGTATGAAAATTATAGAAATGTTTCATGCTTTTCACAAAATTACAGAAAGAGAACACTAGAAAATTGTATGAAAATATAAGATTAATAAATTTAGCGCAGTGCACGGACTACCCACTAGTTATTAATAAAAGTTTGTTGATTTTCTGGTAACTCAACCTAGTCCAATCAATCTCGAGTCCCGACCAATACATGTTAGCGTCGTTCACAATAGATTTAGATTAATATTCACAAAGTTTTGAGTTTTGAGATATGTGATTGGTTTGTTTGGATTGGATTTTATCTTTTTTGTTTTGAGTAAATTACACGAATAGTCCTTCAGTTTTTACAGTTTTTCCCTGAAATGGTCCTTACGAAACTTTTTTCCTTGAGATGGTCCATACGGAGCAAACTTTGCACACAAATGGTCCTTACCGTGGATGTCTGTTAGATTAATCCATTAAGTTGAAAAAAAATTGGATAAGGGCTATTTCTGTCAACTTGTGAAACTTGTTTAAGGACCATTTGTGAAATTTTACACAATGGCCATTTAAAATATTACAATTTTAGCCTCTTACTTTTTCTTTTTACATTTTCGGCCCTTAGTTTTCACAACTTTGTTATTATATATTTTTTATATATATAAATAATTTTTGTTGTCTAGATTTTATATAAAACATATAAATTACAATACATAATTAAATATTTTCTTTTTCTATTTTTTATCTAAAAATATTTGAAGCGTAAAAACATCATTTTATTGTTTTTTAATTTTTATATGATGTAATTGTTAAGATTTATCTTCATTTATCTTATACAAATATATTTATTTTTATGAAAAAAAAAATTCATGTGTTATTATAAAAATACGTTATTATAGAAATAATAGTATGTTGCTATTTTATTTTAAAAATATAAGTATGTGGTTTGAGTTAAAGATAAAAATATATTTCGGTTTTGATTTCTTAATATAAGTAAAATAAATTTTATATTGCTTTGATATAAAATTTTGATATTTAATTTTAAAAAATTATTTAGTTTTATCAAACTTTGAATATATTCCGTAATAAGACATAAACTTTTCGACGCAAAATAAAAAGAAAACATATGTTAGTTAATACTTAACTATATTGCTACAAATGCTAAGATAGTTAACCATATGAACAATATGACATTAATTTCGTTTAATTCACTTTATTTAATAAAAATAAAAGTATTTTATATATTTATAAAAAATGAATTAAATAGAATTAATGTCATATTAAACGGAATTAAACAAAAATAATATGACATTAATTTCGTTAAAAAAATTATTTTCCAAAAAACTATATAGTTAAAGGACCATTCGGGCTCTTTTGTTTTTAATTTAGTATAAAACATAATAATCTACTGAATATGGTCACAAACGATACAATGATACGTCATAATCCGAACTTAACAAACATATTTTCAATATAATATAGAGTGTGGAATTGCATTATGTGCCCCTTTTTTACGATTTCTTAGTCTAAGTCTTGTCTCAATATCGGCTTGCTATAATTAAAAAAAAATGTTGTTTACTTGTTTAGTGACATATATTGTGTTAAGCCAAGTATGGATAACTAGTCTTAGATCATCATAGTTTATATAAACCTTATATATTTTAAATTCCTATCCATCTGATGTTATTATTATTATGTAGATCTTGATAACATAAGAGATTGATTTGTATTATGTTAAGAAAATGAAGCATATATTCGTTTCCTGAAATTACAAAGCTCTCTCGGATGGGATGGGATGGGATGAATGAAACTATAGTTTATTGAGGCTATAAATCCCATCAGAATCCCTTGACTTTCGGCTTCTACAAAAAAAGAATTATAATTTATAATTTATAATAATATATAAATAGGTAGATAGATATCAACTCAAAACAGACTCCACCCAATCCGAGGTATACTCATAAGCAACAAAAGTAACAGCACCAGCAGGTGCAGCTTTCACAATGGATGGCACAATCCCTTTGTAAAGCCCAGCCCATCCCTCTGTCCGCATGATCCGTGAAAGCGCATCGTACATGTTCCTATACGCCTTTGCCTCAACACGCGCCCCATATCTCGGATGCCTTTGCAATCCTTCAATCTGTATTATTATAATTTGTAACCAACCAACAATTTCATTCTATCAGATTCAACCCTCCAAGAATTCCATTTTATCATATTCAACCCTTGAGCAATTTTTTTTACCTGAAACCGCTTCTTCACAACATCAAGTGGATGGCAAACAGCCTTGGCACATGACCCTGCAGCAAGCCCGCAGAGAAAAAGCTGAAAGCTTGACAGGGACTCTTCAGCATGTGTTGGATCCGATAGCCCGCGTATGTTCCATGCCTAATCAAACAATATCTTATAATAAGTTAAGATGGATGATACATAGTGTATTATTTAAAATTATTTATTACCATGGTCCAACGTTTGAAGGTGTCATAAGTACCAAACTGCAACCCGGCATAAGGAATGATCTCCACTAGTGTAGGTGATAATCCAGCATACAGCCCACGAAAACCACGTGTGTTCATAATGTCAACAAATGCAGCCCTCATATTCGGATATATCTATATATACATATAAATAATACACCATTTATTTTTTTTAAAAGGCGATGATAACTTATATAGATATAGATAGATAGATAGATAGATAGATATACCTTTGGCTCACCCTGTGAGGCTAAAATGGTTCTTAGCAGATCAAATGGATATGAACCAACTGTAGCAGCACACCCGGCTAGGGCCCCACTCATGAACGACAGATATGGACTTAAATGAATGTGATCTTCTGCATGCATTATGTATTTCAGAGGTGTGAGAAAAAAAATATATATATATATATATATATGACCAAGAAAGTCAAATATAATGCCTAAATCTGTGACTGATTTTAACAGTAAATAAAATACATATTTTTTTGGTCTGTATATAACTCCTGCTTTTACTTAAAATTGACTGATTTTGAATACAACTCCTGCTTTTACTTAAAATTGACTGATTTTGAATGCAAAGTTTTTTGTTCATATTTCAGTTTCTGAATAAAAAAATGGGACAGTGTATGCAGTTTTTTATGTTCAAATTGAAAGCAAAGTTTTTTTGGTTAAAATTAACAGATTTTAACAGTAAAAAAACACATTTTTTTATCATTAAAAGTTTGTGACTAAAATACCCCCATGTACATAACAGATTACAGGATAAATCAGTTAACTCTAACTAGATGAAATCTTGACTTAATTGAATTAATTGTGAAATTGCAGTATATCAGAGTCGTTTTATAATGTATATAAGCACAAAATTATTTAAAAGAACTCAGAAGAGGGTCTGCCTACTTTTGATGGACAGTTTTTATTTTTTTACTGTTAACAGTTTGTGACTAAAATACCCCTATGTACAGTTTTTTTTTTGGTTCCTATTTCAATTTTCCTAAAAGACCAATACGCCCCTGCACTCGAATATGCCACAGTGCAGTAAAAGGGCACAGTAGGTAATTTGTGACCAAACTGCCCCTGTGTTGGGCTAACACAAGTTGTTCTTTTGATTTAGAAAACGTGTATGGTGTGAGAAAAGTGGTTGCATGTTATAAATTCATCATTTTCTGTTTTAATGTAGCTTGATCTTTAGATTCTATCACCACTGCCACCTGGAATTCAAATTCATCACCCCAAATTCAAATTCACAAAAAAAACAATCAGAAAATTTCAAAATGATCTGCCAAATGCAAAAAACATGATTAAGCAATACTAAAAGTACATTGCTATAAGTAAAGATTTATCACTTTTACATCCCTTTATACCATTAAACCCTTTAAGGCTTTTGTCCCTTGATTGTGATCTTTACAGTTTGTTTAAGGCATCTGTGTAATCTTTACAGTTCGTTTGTGTCCTATGTTGGGGTATTTACCTGCAGTTGCAATACTATTTGGCACTGTGGAAGTGTTTTGTCAATTTTACACTTGGTATGAGATTGCTTATTTTCAAATGTTCAGGTTTTCACTGTGTCATTCGAACCATAATACCCCCTCTACACTTGAAAGATTAACGCTTTTAAAAGTTTAAATGACAGTATACCCTTGAGAATCGAATTGAGTCACTATTACAGAAACTAAAAATATATATATATTTAGAGTCACTATTTCAGAGATTAAATTTTGACACTGACCTGACTTGGAGGACCCAGAAGCAAAAGTTTTCACTTTATGCAGAACCATGAACTGTATAGCAGTGTATGGCATGACCATGAGAAGAGCTGGGACATTACCACGCCAAAAGCCCTGAAAAGAATAAACTATAATATACATATATATAACTCAAACTGAAAGTAAAGAAAGTATTCAGAGTACTAGTAGAAGAGCCCATACTGAAAAGCCTTCCTCTCTAAAGATGTCTTTGGATGCTTGAATCATTCCAGTATATTTCGAGGCCCCATATACATTTTTGCTAAGCAATGCAAAAGAAGAAGTCGGTTCCAGTTGAACCTGCAAATGTAACCAATAAGATCTTATGTTCTCAGTTTAACTTGATGTCATAAGAAGAAGCCATAAATCAAAATGCATAAATTTCTCAATTCAAGTATGATAAGATCATTGGGAACTGTGATACAGTGTAAGCCCCAAATCTATTACCTAAAAGAACTTGAATAGTTATTTTCCAAAATTTCAAATGGATATTGTGAAAAGTATATGATTTAAGCAACCAGTACAATCTCCAGTGCTTCTGAACTTAATGTAACAAAATAAAGGGACACTTGCATGACCAGATTTGTCATTGAAACTATTGGAACCCTGTAACATGCCTTAATCATCATCCCAAGTCTCATTATTATTACTAAGCCTGCCAAACTGCAATCACAATTTAATCAATTTTTTTTTAACAATGGCAAAAGGCATAATGGTAAAGAAAAATTATTGCAGATTCACAAAAGATGACAGACTGTAATCCTTTATTCCATCCATGATGATAGATTCCCCTAAAAGTGGAAAGTTTCTGAAAGTACTCTAGATTAGCAAGAAGATTCATGTTCCTATTACAAGAATAATATGAACAGTTATAAATTATTGTTCTTTTATACATACCCCTTATTGATGTTTCTACTTGTTCTTTTAGCTAATACAGCAAGGGGGTTTACAAGTAGGGTTCTGCAAAAAGAAATGAAAAGTTCACCTGAAACCGGATTTTAATAACATCTAGTGGCGAAGTGACTGTCCGTGATATAGCTCCTGAGATAGAACCGGCCGTCGCATCAATAAACGCCCTTTTAAGTTGCCCCGGCTCTTCCATCTCCCCAAATTCCAGCACACCTTATGCTAAAACCTGAATATAAAATTGGCAAACATAAAATAAGCACACATTGCAGTCAATTAATATCGATACAAGATTCAGCCCTCAATCGAAAATTATTAGGGTAATCGTAAAAAGCATAAAACCGATTCAGATGAAGAGCGTTATCAATACGCAATGTTTTGTAAACGAAACGGGAAACGGACCGGACGGTAGATAAATTAAGATGAAATTGGAAATAATTACTTCTTAAAACAATAGAAACTTGAATTTCGGTAGAGAACCCGAAGCGATATATAATAATACGAAAGGATACAACAACGAAACTATGAAGTTGAAATCAATACGAAGTGAGGAATACCTGAGAAGGAAGAGCAGGGCCACCGACATTGATTGTATTGAAAAGTGGATTGAAATGGAAGGTTGCCGCCGGGAGATGCGAACGGCGGCAATTGGGAGACACTAAAAAGAAGTCACGATTGGCTGCTTTGCGAGGCTACCGGAAAAATCAAGATTCGTTCCAGTTATTAACAAACCAAATTTGAAAATTAAAATAAGGTTTACATAAATCGCCTCGTAGGTTTTAGGTGCAAATCTATCGTGTGCCATTTTTCAATGTCGATTGTCGACTATCTATATATTCGTACGATATATTATATATAATTCAAAACAATGTACACCAAGACATTTTCTTCTTGAATAGACATATGACGGGAAAATGACTCTTGAGGGTAATTAACTTTTACGTTTGTACTCATTTGGTCCCTTTCCTTTTTTTTGTATTCAATATACCATCGAACTTGTTGTTTGCGTTCACCATAACCCTTTTGACCGGCTTTTGACATGTGATAGCCGGTCAAAGGGTTATGGTGAACACAAACAACAAGTTCGATGGTATATTGAGTACAAAAAAAGGAAAGGGACCAAATGAGAACGAACTCAACAGTTGGTTACCCTCCTGAGTCATTTTCCCCGAAAAGTTAAATGAAATTAAAGTTGCAAAATTATCAAAGACTACAACCTTCTTTGGCTATAATGAATGTGAAGAGCGTTTCAAAGGGGTAACCTCGTTAAAACATGGTCTATGTTATGCTTACTGTAGTTAGCTGTCAACACATCTCTGCAAAAGGATATGACTATGTATGAGAGGTATATTTATCAGCATAAACGTTTACCTCAAGGTATATTATGGTGATGTGTCTACAAAAGCAGCATGATATTGTACATATTTTGATGTTGTATCTTATCCCATGAATTTGATCTTAAAGCTAAGTAAACTCAAAAATCACAGCACTTGTGATTCCACTCGTTTGTAGACTTGTGTAGAATCCATGATACGATAAATTATTTGATTGGAAAATGTAAATGTAGTCTTGAAATGCGCCTGCTTAGTCAAGATTCCCCTAATAAATATTCAATTGCATTACAAAGTTGTACATGTATGAATAATGTTCTTTCGTGGGTTATGTTTTGAAGAGAAGCAAGAATGAATCTCATAAAGTCATTAATATCAGTAGGAGATGACGTGGGATTTGTTGTATATGAGTAAAGGGAAAATGAATCAGGAGGGTAACCAACTGTTGCATTTGTTCTCATTTGGTCCCTTTCCTTTTTTTTTGTACTCAATATACCATCGAACTTGTTGTTTGTGTTCACCATAACCCTTTGACCGGCTATCACAGGTCAATAGCCGATCAAAAGGGTTATGGTGAACACAAACAACAAGTTCGATGGTATATTGAATACAAAAAAAAAGGAAAGGGACCAAATGAGTACAAACGCAAAAGTTAATTACCCTCAAGAGTCATTTTCCCGACATATGACATAAACGGCCCTCAATGTTTGATTTTAAATATATAAATCACCCTAAGTCTTTGTTAATTGCAGGTACACCCCAATACTAGACCTTCTATCAGTTATGCATATTTCATAAACTAAAAACATTAGTTACCCTAAGTCTTTTGACTTTAGGTAGTCATAGCGGTTCTTCATTTGTTTTTCATCGGCAATAAAGTTATGTTCAATTTTTAATGTTTCAGCTACATTCCTCCAAGATAGTGTTTTCAAACTACTCATTTCCCGTCCATTGACCGTAACTTCACGTAAACAAGCTTCTAGAAACGTTTTCTCTACACCTTCGACCTTCCAACTAATCATGTCCTTCTTTTCTCCCATTTCTTTGGTCAATTCAACAAAAAAATGCATGTTTTAGCAACAAGTTAAGCATTGCAAATACACATTTTCAACAACAATTTACGCAAACAAATGCACATTTTCAACGACTACTTCAACAAAACAAAGGCATATTTTCCACAACTACTTCAACAAAACAAATGCATAATTAGAAAAACCAATGCATATTTCATGATAACAGCAAGAACATATATGATTTCACTATAACATCAAACACAAAGATAATTTCAGCAAAAACATTTCAGCATAATAATCGAACAGAAAAACATTGAACATAAAAAATTGAGTATAAAAAATCAACAATAACATCAAAAATTCAACATCAACATTTCATCATATCCATTGAACACATTCAAACTCGATCGTATACCATCAAAATCAAGCATATAACATCAAAATCGAGCATAACATCAAATAGATTAGAATTGAACAAATCAGAAACCGATTAGCATAACATAAGAATTGATTTCGATTTTTGATTTTCGAGTTTGGGGGGGGGGGGGAATGAAGAAACAGAAGAAGAGCAATCGATTTTCAGAAGAAGAGAACAAATCTGTTTTCGATTTTTGATTTTCGAGTTTAGGGCACAGAAGAAGAGCGTCGACGTTGCAAGGGTGATGCGACGTCGACGATGGGGTGGGCGGCGGCAGCGGCGAAGGGAAGCAGACGCGAAGGGGGAAGAAGACGCAGGAAGAAGACGCACGGAACAGGAGAAGAGGAGGTGGGTTATGTTCGATCGTGTGGTTTAGGGAAAAACAAGAAACACGTTTTTTTTTTGAATTCAGACTTTGTTCCGTATCTGAAAAATTAAGAGGTAAACAAACAGGGCCTTATTTAGTGAGAGGCTTGGGCACATCTGAAAAGAAAAAAAAGACACGCATATGTTCTTTCTCTTCTCTCGACACTGAACACAACTCCTCCCTCTTCTTGCTTATGCCCTCTTCGACGTCTCCCATCGGCATCCCTATCGGACGTTGCACACCGCTGGCGAAAGGAAGCCGACCTCGCACACTGTCGGAGCAGCGTTCGCAGAGACTGCCCTCTATTCTCGGTAGCCTTATGGTCTTCTTTTTTATTAGTTTCTATAAAGTTGATAATTATTTAAATTAAGTGGGATTTTCGGTGTGTAATGTTTTGTAAAAGATTTGTTGAGCCCCTTGATCACAATTAATAGTTAAGCCTTTTGGTAACTAATGTTTTTTTTTAAACGACAAATCTAATCTACTCCTAAACTACTCCTTAAATCCACATATGTCCACAACAGGACTTGAACCCTCAACCTCAAGGAGGGAGGGCAACACCGGATACCGTTGGGCTACAAGCCCTTCGGTGCTTAACTGGGCAAATCTAATCTACTCCTAAAGTCAAAGTTTGATGCTTTTTTGAAGTTAAAAAACAAAACCGGCAATGTGTACAATCCAACAACCAACACCTTCAATCTTTCCAAAGAAAAATGGGGACTAGAATCGAAGGTATTTTGTTTAGTTATAAAAAATATATTATCATGTTTAAATAATAAAATATTTTTTCCAAACAGTCAAACAAACATGTGGATTCTTTGAGACGCACGCCACTACCGTACCCCGACCTTTGCATACAGTTGTTTGAAGGCGCGACTGCGACAGACATTCATAGTTGGGGGCCAACTTCTACCCTTCCCCGTCCTACTCAAGAATCAAGCCACTATAGTTTGCATGACTTTGACGACATTGATTGCACTCAACAAAAAATTGTAGGTCTCAGTGAGGAGTCCTCCGCTCAATCAAAAAAAACAAAAGACTACAGATTCGGCAAAGAGTCAAAATAAAAGTAAAGATAAGGGTAAAGATGCATCGAATTCAAGATTGCTTGAAATCGGGGAAGATATTGCAACAGTTGCTAAGATATTTGTGGAACACGAGATATTGGTTATCCGATAATCGACAACGGCATGCGTTAACTAAGGAAGAAAAATTCAATCATGCACATGCGCAACTCAGAAATGTTATTGAACGTGCATATAGTGTTTTGAAGGCGAGATTCCAAATCCTAAAGCGAATGGCTCCTTTTCCTTTTTCAGTGCAAAGAGATATAGTCGTCTCTTGTTTTGCAGTCCACAATTTCATAAGGAAATGTGATATTCATGATGGGGTATTTATGGCGTTCGAGGAGAACAATGGTCAAGCACAAGGGGGAGAGAATGATGGCCAAAACGTACACAATATGGAATAGGGTTTACAAGGCAATGAATACATGGATAATTTGCTAGACCAGATTGCAAATCAATTGGGGTCAAATTAAATTTGTAGGATTTTATTTGGATTTTAGTATGATTATGTGGATTTAAAAATATTTATGTTTGATTTGGATTTGTGTTTAATTTTGATTTATTCTAAATTTGGATTTTATATGGTGTTTATATTTTTTAATACGTATTTAAGAAATTTATTATGTTATTTTCTAAACAAACACTTGAATTCAATAAAAAATAAAACAGAAGGGTAAAATGGTCATTTTAATAATTCAGCACAGCAATTCAGAGGTCCCAACCAAACAGCATGTTAAACATTCAGCTCTTAAAATTTCAAACCCTCTTAGAAATTCAGACCTCTTAAAAATTCAGATTTTAAAAATTCAGATCCTGCCAAACAGCCCCTAAAAGGCTATTTATGTAAAAATAAGAGGTAAAGAAAGGTTTGATTCGGATATGTCTCTTTTTAAAGGGCATTAAGAGCTAAACAAACAGCCATAAATATAGATTTTTAAAATATAAATGAGTTTATAAAGTGTTTGAAATAAAAAGATGTTTTTAAAAAACATTTTACTATTTTCAAAAACAGACTTTTTAAAAAACACATAAATTGTTGACTTTTGAAAAATAACTTTGACTTCTTCACCTAAAATGACTATAATATACCCATCAAATTTAACATACCCGCTTTCATCCTCCCTTCTTGCCACCACATATGTAAGTATGTATTTTTTTGACATTTTACACAAGGGTGGACGCAGGATTTTATGGTAGAGGTGGCACTGGATAGCACGAGAAATTTAAGTAACGACATGATAGTAGAAAAAAATCAATACTTTTTGTACTACGTATATGGAAGTCAGGGGTTTTCGGTGCTACTATGGGACATCATATAGAACTGTCCATGATTTTACATATATAAGTTAATGAAAATATATAGAAAAAAAATATTATCAACTTATAGCCTTTTGTAACTAATAAATTAATCAAAACTATTTTTAGAAATTAGCTTCATCACTAAAAAGATAATAAGCATTTTCATTAAAAAATACTTATTAAATTAAATAAGCAATCCCAAACACACCCTAAAGAAGTATGGGTCTATCGTCTTTCTCCCCTCATCGGTCGCCACCACAAAAACTTTTTACAAGAAACCCTATATATTCACAAAACC